CACCTTTATTCGAGCATCTGGTGCAGCGAACGAATTGATTAGTTGTGCTATCATTGCCTTTAAAAAAAACAATCTTCCTAATGTTCAAGTTAACATCAAGCAATTGGACTTTTGGACTTCGTAATGAAGCTAATGTTGCAATCGATTGTATAAAACATTAAAGAACATTTTTGTGGTAATAAAGTCGCGTGATATTAGCAAACGAACCATACCGGGAATAGATTATTTTTCTTTCCATCTCAATGATCATATCATTTTCAGCCATCATTGCGATTGGGGTGTATCGTGTTGTTCTATGCAATGAAAAAGTGTTCTAATCAGACAGGTAAACAAACATAGAATCATTCACTCCCGCTTACCAGTAGGGGAAATGTTGAGAGTGTATTGGACGGTTAATCTTTCTAAAGACAGAAAATGGCAAAGAGAACTTATTTTGCCTTCCAAAAGACAATAATATAGCTAAAGATAATATAATATAGCCATATGAAGCCACCAGGGTAGAAAGGGGGGGGGGGCGAGAGACAGACAATCTAACTAACTGAAACAGATGTTTTTGTACTTTTGATGCTTTTATGTGTGTTTGTATACGTGGGTGTGTGAGTTTATGTGTGTGCGTGTATATGTGCATGTGCGTGTGTGTGTGTGTGTGTGTGTGTGTGTGTGTGTGTGTGTGTGTGCATGTGTGTGTGTGTGTGTGCATGTATGTGTGTGTGTGTGTGTGTGTGTGTGTGTGTATGTGTGTCTGTGTGTACCTTGATCTCAAGATGCGATTGAATGCCTCACATCGTTTCGTTCGTAGCTGCAGTATCAAATGTTAATTTTTATCTATACTCCAGTTGCTGTGACGTTGATCAATATATAAAGTTGTTTATCGCAGTTTTTGACACGTGTGTTCTTTGTAAACTACAATAATGGCCATGGAAATTCCCACTGGTCTAAGCATCGAGGTAGTTATAAAAAATCACATACTCCCTGCAGAATCAGTTTCAATTAACTAATTAACTTATCGAAGGACAATGTATATTATTATATAGCCTCTGTGTGTGTGTGTGTGTGTGTGTGTGTGT